TTCAAGGGGCGTGGCAGCAAGAAAGGGAAGGCCAAGGAAGGCTCTGGAGGGGAGCAGCATTCGGGAGGGAAGCGTGGCAACAAGGGAGGCAAGCGGTGTGGCGGCAAGTGTTGGTATTGCCATGTGGAAGGGCACCCATGGTTCAAGTGCCGCAAGCTACCTGACGGTTGGAGGCCTGGTCAGCCATCAATTGAGGGCTCCAAGGGTGTTCATGGAGCTATGGGAGAAGGCATGGGCAGTGAGGAGGGCGAAGGAGGTGCTGGCGGATACGGCGGCATGTTCTACCATGTAGGGGAGGCGTGCCCCGAGGACATGGTTGTGCCGGCCAGCAAGATTGCTCTTCACCGCTCCTCCCATTGGGTCATCGATACGGGAGCCTTCATGACCATGACCAACCGAGAGGATCTACTGGAAGAAGTTAGGCCATCAAAGGCAGCCACCGTCGTTTCAGCCACCGGCCAAGTTGTACCCGTGCGTGGCGAGGGGAGAGCCATGTTCATGGGTGCGGATGGGAGGCTTGTGGGGCTGAAGCGTGTTCTCCTTGTTCCTGGATTGTGTGCCAACCTCCTCTCTACCAAGGCCCTAAGTGAGGCAGGGATGAAGATGGAGATGTTGGGCACAAAGGTTTTCAAGGCAACTCTGGATGGGCGCGTATTGTGGGACCTCCGAGGCGGCAAGGACATGCACCGGTCTATGTGGGAGATACCGGTGCTGCCATGGAAGGAGGCGGCTGCGCGCTTGGCTGCTGGAGATGTGAGAGGAGGGCGTGTTAACCACGTGGACAATGGAGGGGGTGGTGATGACAGTGATGGTGGGCTCCTTGGGCATGGAGGGGCTGCGCTTCCAAGTGTAACTCCTAGCACGGGTGAGACGGATTGGCTCACCGCACACCGTCGCTTTGGCCACGTGGCGCTACCTCAGTTGCAGCAGCTGTTTAAGGAGGAAAGAGTCAAGGGGCTGAGGATAAAGGGGGAGCCCAAGGAGGTGGGATCTTGTGAGACTTGCTTGACCAGCAAGTTTTCACGGTTTCCCTTCCATTCGGTGGAGGGGAAGTCGAGTGACCCGGTGGAGCTCGTGCATGTGGATCTCGTGGGACCCATGAAGGTGAAGGGAGATGGTGGGGCCCTGTATTCTATGACCATGGTGGATGACAACACAAGGCTCACCTGGTCCTTTCCACTTGCAAAGAAGAGTGATGCTGCAAGGGTCATCATTGAAGAGTGGCTGCCCATGGTGGAGCGAGAGAGCGGCAAGCGGGTGAAGGCGATACGTAGTGACCGTGGTGGGGAGTTCTTGGGAGCGGAGTTCCGGAGCTGGCTGAAGCGGCATGGCATCAAGCAGCAGCTCACCACGGCCTACACCCCTCAATCCAATGGCGTGGCAGAGAGAGCGAACCGGACCATCTTGGAGGGCGGGAGAACGATTTTGGTAGACTCGGGTCTACCCTTACGGTTCTGGCCCCTCGCTATTCGCCATGCCACCGTCATCAAGAACCGAGTATTGACTCATGTGGGAGGGCAGCATTGGGTCCCTATGGAGAAATGGAGGGGCAAGAAGCCTCTGGTGGATATGCTTCGAGTCTTTGGGTGCATGGGACTCGTGCACGTCCCTAAGGAAAAGCGTGACAAGCTTCAAGCGGCGGCGGTGTGGGCTGTTCATTTGGGACTTGCACAAGGGAGCAAGGGGTGGCTCATGTGGGACCCAATAGCCAACACCATCTTCACCACCAGAGATGCCAAGTTCATGGAGGGGCTCATGTTCAAGGAGTGGTTGGAGCGAGGGAGGAGCAAGGTCACCATTCCGCTCGGAATAGAGGTGGGAACGAATGACCCACTCTTCATTCCCATCGAGTTGTCTTCGTCTTCAGAGGTAACGGAGGTGTCACATGACTTGGGAGGTGCTGAAGGGGAGGCAGCAGAGGTGGAGGGAGTGTTGCAGCAAGAGAAGGCCCCTGTAGCTGAGAGAGGTGATGCCGAGGAGGAGGTGCAGCAGCCTACACCATCCCCTACTCTTCCACCAAGGCGGACAACCCAAGGGAAGCGTGGTGCTGTCCGTGGTGGAGCTAAGGAGAGTGCAGCCAAGGAGAGGCCCAAGAGAGCTGCTCACCCAAGGGATTTCCTCAAGTATGAAAGGCTTGGGGGTCCCAAGGCATTGCTGGTCCAGGAGGAGGAAGATGATGAGGAGAAGGGAGCCGAGGGAGAGATGGAGCAGATTTGTTGCTTCGGTGTCAACTTACCTCATGAACCGGCTTCGATGGAGGAAGCACTTGCTGGAGATGATCGAGAGGCTTGGTTGGCTTCAAGGGAGGATGAGTTTAAGAGCCTCATGGAGAATGGAACGTGGACCCTCACCAATCTGCCCCCGGGAAGAAAGGCATTGGATTGCACGTGGATATTACGTGTGAAGACCGATGCGGAGGGGAAGTTGGAGAGGCGCAAAACAAGACTTGTGATCAAGGGTTTCCAGCAGAGGGAGGGGGTTGACTTTAAGGAGGTGTTTGCTCCTGTTGCCAAGGCTCCTACGCTCCGGGTGTTGCTGGCAGCAGCTGCCGTTTGTGGTTGGAAGGTGGAGCAAATGGATGTGAAGACGGCTTTCCTCTATGGCGTGGTAGATGAGGAGATTTACATGAAGCAGCCAGAGGGGTACGACGATGGGAGCGGACGTGTTTGCAGGCTCAACAAGGCCATCTATGGCCTCAAACAAGCTCCAAGGTGCTGGTATGCAAGGCTGGTGGAGGCGTTGGAGGCTCTTGGCTTCAAAGTTAGCGGGTGCGACGAGAGTCTCTTCATAACCGAGGGGGATGAGGAGAAAGTGTTTCTCCTTGTCTACGTCGATGACATTCTCCTCTTCTCTCCATCCCTGGAGAGGATCAAGGAGGTGCAAGGGAAGCTGAAGGAGACCTTTCAATGCAAGGCCCTTGGACCAGTGGGGTATTACCTTGGTCTTCACGTGGAGCGGGACGAGGTGAAGGGATGGTTGAGGCTTCACCAACACAAGTACCTTGCAGCCATGGGGGAGAGGTATGGGCTGGAGGAAGGGAGGAGTGTAAAGACTCCACTACCCTCAGGATTTCAGCTACACCTTGATGAAGAGGAGGGTGAGGTGTTGGAGCCCGAGTTGCAGCGTCGGTTCCAGTCAATGGTGGGGAGCTTGATGTATGCTTCGGTCAACACTCGCCCCGATATTTCATTCGCGGTTTCGCAGCTGGCTCGTGTGGTGTCTAGGCCCCTTCAAGAGCACCTTGATGCAGCAGAGAGGCTGGTGAGGTACTGCATGGCAACCTCAAGGGTGGGGCTGCAATATTCAGTGCATGGGCAGCTGAAGCAAAAGGGAGTGGAGGAGGTGAGCACGAAGACCGGTGCACCTGCAAGGCGTGGACACTTGTACCTCTCATGCTTCACCGATGCTACCTGGGCAAGTGACATCAGTGATGCAACATCCCACGGTGGCTATGTATGCTGTGTTGGAGGGAGTCCAGTGAGCTGGAAGTCTAAGAAGCAAGGGGAGATAGCTCACTCATCAACGGAGAGCGAGTACATGGCGTTGTTTCATGGGGTGAAGGAGGTGGTTTGGATGAGGAGGTTGCTTGAGGAGTTGGGGCAGGAGCAAGAGGGTCCTACACCTGTGTTTTGTGACAGCCAAGGAGCAATTGCAATGGCTCGCAATGCTGTGCTCCATGGGCTGAACAAGCACATGCATATCAAATGGCATTGGGTGAGGAAGGAGGTGAAGAAGGGCACGGTCTCCTTGCACTACATCAACACTACCAAGCAACCTGCAGATTTTTTGACGCAGCGGCTTGCAGAGCATCAGCATTGGACCTGCGCCACCTTGTGTGGCATGTCCTTCAACTAAGGGAGGCAGCTTCAGGGAGCAGCTAAGGGATGAATGAGAGCACGATGAGGGGGAGTTTGTTGTGCCAACACATTACAGTGGCACGGTCATCGCACTCCCATTCGGCCTACAAGCCTGCTCAGCTTCTGGAATTTTGTGGGGAGGTTGTTCAACACGTTTTCTTCAAACCCTCAAAGTTTCAGAGTTTTTCAAGCAGTTACCAAGGCATGACAACATTTTATGTTTCAAGACTTATGGCATCCCGGAAGTGTGTGTTACTCCTTTTTGGTAACACCCGAGTTCACCATTTCGGCTGCTGACTCGTCTACCGAGATCTGATTGGTCTGAAATTCGGTCTGGAAGTCCTTTGCCCCGCTGTGCAAGTGGTCACCAAGTTTCAGAACGATCCAACATCTGAGCATTGCGTGACAGCTGCCGAAATTCACTGTTCCGTAGTCATGGTGCACTGTTGGCAGCATTTCCCTTGCCACCCTTTCATTGTTGTCATGCCAATGGTGCAGGGACAGAGAATGAGACAAGAAGTACAGGTGGTCAAGTGGGACTCTACAACCCTCCTTTTGAGAAGTGTGGTCTTCCTGGAAGCAACTTGCAAGAGGGTGCAAGTGGGAAGACAAGCTGACTCATGTTGGCTTGACTCACTATTGGTAGCCTTGAGTACAGCTCTGAACATCCAAGTGTGGCTGGCTTTGCTGACCTAGCTAGGACGTTTCCCATTCTTCTCTAGCCTTTCTCCCCTAGGACTCAACCTTCTCTGAGTTCCCAGGATGACCCAACCCCTTATGAGTCCCCTAGGCAATGTTGTACTCACCTCTTCCTTGCATCAATGAGAATACACGTTTTTTCAGCCGAGCTTACCTTTTCGTTCACTGCGTAGTGCACACACCTCTGATAATAGCAAGTAATATACCGTTGGAAAGCAGACATCTAAGGCTAACCGCTGTCCAAGTTTCAGCCTCGTATGTTCTCGGAGCTGATCGTGACGGCGTTTTGAACAGAGGCGGTTTGAAGACGTCAGATTCTGCTTAGGCGGTTTCATGGGCATCCGCGACCCCTAAGTGGACTGCAGACTATAACAGGGAGTAGGGCAGCAGAGGGGAGCAGGGCAGCAGATGGGAGGAGGGCAGCAGAGGGGAGCAGGACAACAGATGGGAGGACGGCAGCAGAGAGGAGCAGAGCAGCAGATGGGAGTAGGGCAGCAGAGGGGAGCAGGGCAGCAGATGGGAGTAGGGCTGCAGAGGGGAGCAGGGCAGCAGAGGGGAGCAGGGCAGCAGATGGGAGGAGGGCAGCAGAGGGGAGCAGGGCAGCAGAGGGGAGCAGGGCAGCAGAGGGGAGCAGGGCAGCAGATGGGAGGAGGGCAGCAGAGGGGAGCAGGGCAGCAGAGGGGAGCAGGGCAGCAGAGGGTAGAAGAGCTGCAGATGAGAGGAGAGCAACAGAGAGGAGGAGAGCAGCAGAGGGGTGGAGGCCAGCAGAGGGGAGGAGGGCAGCAGATGGGAGGAGGCCTGCAGAGCGGAGCAGGGCAGCAGAGGGGAGGAGGGCAGCAGATGGGAGGAGTCCTGCTGAGCGGAGCAGGGCAGCAGAGGGGAGGAGGGCAGCAGAGGGGAGGAGAGCAGGAGATGGGAGAGCAGCAGAGGGGGATAAACAGGGAGAGGGAAGAGCAACAGCAGAGGGGAGGGGAGCAGCAGAGGGGAGAGGAGAAGCTGATACTTCCGGAGCAACGTAGGGGACAGCAAGACGTTGCAGATGTTCCCATCCACAGAGAACGTGGTTCAACCCCACCTGCTGAATGGGTGGTTGAAATCGAGGACTTTGTGGAAGGATTAGACGAAGAAAGTGATAGCTGTGAAGAGGAGGAGACTGAGACTTTGGGCGGACAAGACCAAGAGACCAACACATTGGATGTGGCTGAAGCCCTGGCTACTGGTAGCGCTGATCAAACTCATGATAAACCAGCGGAGGGAAGCGGGGGCGGTCAAGACATGGAGGAGGGCTCATCCGATGATGAATGTAGTTGTGATGAATCGGACGCAGACGAAGGTGAGGAAGGGCTGGATAATTCCACTAGCTTGGGAGATGATGAGCTCTGTGAGTTTCTTACCATGGGTGATGCACGGCTGCAAAGGGAGGGTCCACATGGTCACACATCAGATGACGAAATAAGCACACAGAGTGGTCGCGGAGGAGTTAACGGTAGTGCAATGCCTGGGGAGCACCAACCCACAGAAGGTGAGGAAAACAGAAATGATGTGGCAACGACCAGTGTCCCAACAGAAGCAGCACAAGGTCAGCGAGAATCGGAACCAGAGGAGGCCAGCCAAAATCTTTTGGCAAACCCTGCGCCGCCATTTTGGTCGTTGGTCCGTGTCCAAGGTCGGCCTAATGCCACTGACCCAATTGCCACGAGAAGGTTAAGACAGAGGCAAAGGTTTAGGTTACAGGTGGAGATTGTTCCTGAGGAAGGTGAGGAGGAATCTGATGGCGAAGAAGTGGCAGCAAATGCTGTGCGTGGGAGGAGACAACCAGCTCGCCAAAGGCAGGAAGGGAGACAGAACAGGTGATCTCGACACCAAGGTCAGCCTAACGAGAGAACACGGGGAAACCAGCAAGCACAACAGCCACAGAGTGACGCAACACTGTTGATTCAGCAGCTGCAACAACAAGTAATGCAGTTGCAGCGTCAGCTGAACAACCATCAGCCCCTTCTACAATCAGGATTGTCGCAGCAGCAGCAGCAACATCAGTTCTTGCAACCACAGCAGCAGCAACAGGAGATGTTGCAGCAGCAGCAGCCGCAGCAGCAGCATCAGTTGTGGATGCAACAACAGCCACAACAGAAGTATCAGCCTTCCCAACAGTATTCCTTCCAAAACCAGCAACATTTCCAACCAATGTTGTACGAGCAGCCATGGCAGCAGCAAGGGCAGCAGCAGCAGCAGCAATGGCAGCAGCAGCAAGGCCAGCAGCGGCAGCAGCAGCAAGGGCAGCAGCAGCAGCAGCAGCAGCAATGGCAGCAGCAGCAAGGCCAGCAGCAGCAGCAGCAGCAGCAGCAAGGGCAGCAGCAGCAACATCAGCAATGGCAGCAGCAGCAAGGCCAGCAGCCTCAGCAGCAGCACCAACATCTGCCGTTCTTTCAGGTTACAACTCTGGAACATCAGCAGCAGCGTTATAACCGCCAGCTGCGCCGCGCTACACTCTCGCGGAGACGTGCCGCAGAGACAGTCAGCAAATCCGTACGTGATAACAGGTCAGTGCCCGTATAATCCTTTGAACGTGTCTCTTTCTCGCATGTTCAATATAATGTAACCTTATAAACCCCTCTGTGTTTCTATTGCCAATACTTCTGCGCTTTTTTTACACTCCATTGGCAGGTGAAATATTGGCAGCTTGCAAGACATCGCCTCTTGAATTTGGAGGATGACTCCGGTTTAAAACAATAGCATCCAATAAAGACACGTCGCAGCAACTTCCGTATAACACAAGGGGAGGTGGGGGGTTGGAGTAGTAAGTTGCAGACATCAATATTATTTTATGATTATTATGGTTCTAGATAGGGTACTACATCTATTTTGGATTTTCAAACTACTATAATGTTTCTAGATTCGGTACCACTGCAATTAGAAAGTGCTTTGCTATATATTTTGCTTCGTCTAAACTTGACCATCTACCGTTTAGTATTTCACATGCATGTTAACTTAACGAATGACTTGCAGTGCATTGCTGTGAGGTGCAACAATGTTGCAACAATGTTGTACCACGATGATTGTTGCTTAATGTCACATGCTCGCGCGATTCTACGCATGTAGTCGTGTGAACATAATGTTACCTCTCACTCTCCCCTGTTTATACTCTCTCTCTCTCTCTCTCTCTCTCTCTCTCTCTCTCTCTCTCTCAAGCAGTCATGTATTGATAATGGTCAACAGGTACAGGCAAGGCAGGGAGTGGTAGTGGCCAGTTTGTCTAGGCATGCAGGCAAGTAGGTATTGGAAACTAGCAACTAGCAGACCAGCAAACAGAACAACCAGACAACCTGACCGGAAGCTGTGCTAGCAGGCAGATCTTGAACAGCTAAGAGATCTGCTCAATCAAGCCAGGCCCCCAGTGAGACCCCCTCAGCATCCCCCCCCTGCCCTGTGGCCACCCCCTTGTGTCCTCACCCCACTCCTTGCCTCCCCTACTACCTCCTCCTGCACCGCCCCTTCCAGTTCCTCCCCCTCGTTACCGCACCCCCTTCTGGCCGTCTCCCTGCCTACCCCCCCCCCCGGCTGTCTAAGGTGCCCCAGCAGGAGCGTCCTGCTCCTCATACTCATCAGGCGCCATCTGCCAGAGGTCGGCCAGGTGAGGGGCCCAAGGGTCTGCTGCCTGTGGGAAAGCTGCCTCTGCCGCCCGATTGGACTTGGAGAGGAGGGAGATGGCCTGGCTACGCTGTAGCATCACCGACCATCTCTGGCGGTAGTGGGCCGTGAGCCTGGCTGCCGTGGTGGTGAGCCTCCCTTGCCGGAATTTCTTCCGTGCTGCGTGGGTGGCCAACATCCGAAGGAACTGTACGGTGTCAGCTGCCATCGCCCCATAGGTCTCCACTGCAAGCCCAAAAAACCCCGCGTAGCTCGGCCGTCCCTCGTACAGCCGGTGCTTCTTCTGAGAAGCTTCTTTTGCCGCCCACCCCGGCGGCCTACGTGCCCTCACATCCCTCTCTTGCAGTACCGGGTCTGTCACAGTGACATCTGTCACCCATGTCTCTCCTGATTCCTGGTCCTGGATCGCTAGGTCAGCCCTCTTCCTTAGGACTGGCGGCGAGAAGGCCGAGGTTTCATGGTAGGTATTGTAGCCGGCCTCCTTCGCCATGCGCAGCGCCGCGAACACCAGGGCGTTGTGAGTCCGGACCGCATCCCCTCCATCCTGGCAGCGCAACAGATGGTTCGGTAAACTCTTGTCCAAAATATTGGACCCCGCCCGCTTGCATGGGCACACCTCAGCAACTGGCAGTTCCATGCCTAGAAGGAGGCCCAGGGCCAAGGAGAACTGACCAGGGGATATTGTAAGGTCAGCTCTCGTTGGTACCGCATGAAGCCAGTCGCCCGCCCCCACCCCTTTCAGGCTAATCAGCCTTATCCCGTGCCCCCTGTGCCTGCCCGGTCTGTCCACCACGGTGTCGCCTAGGAGATCTGCCGCCCGCTGTAGATTTATCTGCTTCGAGAGGCCCAGCTGCAGACTGCCTGCGCCTGTGCTGTCAGTCCTGAAATGAGCAAGGATTGCCTGTGCTTGGGCTGGGAGGCCTTCTTCCAGGGCCGATAGCGGGTTGAAGTCTGGGGGGGGAGGGGACCAGTCGTGGGCCAGCAACGTGATGGCCCTGTGCAGCAGACACTCGGGGGGAAGGCCCAGCTGCTGCAGGAGGGAGTGCGCTGCTGTCACCGATGCAATGTGGGCGGCTGGTGCCTCCGATATGGGGTCAATGATCCCCAGCCCACCTAGCCGAATGGGCAGGGTCGCCTGGCGCCACAGGAGACTCTGCTCCAGTTCCTGTATCGGAATGTTCAGCTTCGCCGCCGCGAGAGCCGTGCCCACTAACGCCTCACTCCACCCTCTCCACTCCTCCATCCCCAAGGCTGTCGCCGGTGTCGTCCGCAGTAGGTAGGAGATGCGGCGGGAGATGCTGCGCGAGAGAATCAGCAGGGCCGCCTGAGGGTGTAACTGGCTGACAAGGCGGAGTGGGGACGCCGCCTCCTCTAGTGACGCTCTCACACGGCCAGTGCAGAAATCCGCCGTGCCAATGGGGCTACCCAGGACCTGTATGCCTCCCGGGTCCGCTGTTAAGCCGATCGGAAGCCCCGCCTGTTCCCCCCCCCCCGTATGGCGCACCACGCCGACGACTTTGAGAAATTGCACCGCAGTCCAAAGTCTGCTAGGTCGCTGGCGATCTTCGTGAAAGCTCGACATGCCGCCTCCCTCGACCGACAATGGTGATGTCGTCCGCGTAGGCGACAACCGCGACTTCCGGCATCGTCACCGAAATGCTCAAGAGCGCAGGCTGGATCGCTACCGCGAACAAAAGGGGGCCTAAATGGTCTCCCTGTCGGACGCCTCGCGAGCTCTGGACGTGATCAACGCCGAGGCGTGCATCGGTGAGTAGTCGTGACGGACCATCGTAGAGGTTTCGGACGAGAGGGATCAAGGGGCTGAGGTGCGACCACTGTAGCGACCCTAGGAAAGCTCGCCGCTCGACACTGTTGAATGCGTTCTCCACATCTAGCTGGAGGGCGATATGCGTCTCATCTTCCCGTAAAAGCGATCGGACGGTGTGGATTACGCATTCCGCTCCCCCAGGCACCGCCACTCCGAATTGCACTGGGAGAAGGAACTCCCTAATCTTAGGCGCCAATGTGTGTAGCGCTGCCTTAGCTACGATGCGCAGAATGGCCTCCCCGATAGCTATCGGCCGAACCCCGCCATTAGGTTTCTCGAGTGCAATCAGGCGGCAAGGCAGGAGTAAGTCTCGCACGTTCTGTGCCTGAAAACTACCAAGTAGCCGATTGACCACGTTGGCGAAAAGTAGCAACACCTCCTCGTTGGCGAGGGCCGGATCCCTCAGGTGCTCGAAACAAGTCCCAGAAGGCCCCGCCCCAACCCCGTTCGGACATTTCGCGAGAATTTCGCGAAGGGTGTCCGGCTGGACGGAGAGGTCTGAGGTTGTGATTCCGGTTACCCAACTCGGAATTCGCGTTTCCGCTGCGGGGTGCTTCGCTTGTAGTGCCTCAAGTGTAGCTGGGGTAAGCTCCGCTAGAGGGCTAGTTCGTAAAGTCGCGGCAGCTTTCGAAATGTTGCCCTTCTTCATCAAACCCTCCGCTCGTGCACAAACCCCTTCATCATCCCCCTGGTGCCGTATCGGGCCTCCTACGTTGGGGATGACCCTGGCTTCCTCGTAAAGGTCACCCCACTCGCCCTTTTGGAACTTGTGAAGGCGCGCCTCGATGTGTGTCCAGCGGCTCCCAGTAACAGGTTCGGGAGCGGGCCTGAGCGTGAGCCTCGGTAGGAATTGAAGCACCAACCAGCCACCTAGGCAGCTTGGGTTCTTGTCCAGGCGATGAAGTGCGGCCAGCATGCACAGAGTGTATCTGTCCAGAATCTGGGGTGGTAAGCGGCGGACCAGGAAAGGCTGTTCCCCCCTCTGAAGGATGTCCACGTTCCATGCCCCTGCCGCCAGCCAGATGGCATCATCGCCGGCCAGGTTGGCAGGGGATGGCACATCAGTGTCCTCCGTGGCTGGTTGCTCTCCCCCGCCTGGATTTTCCTGGATATTTCCCTCTGCCGCTGCACCCCCTCGACTCTGTGTGGCTCTCCTGCCCGGTTCCTGCTCCTCATCCAAAGAGATTTCCTCGGACTCCTCCTCCTCACCACCCATAAACTCTGGGTCGTCTCTGCAGTTGTCAGATGCGACTCGCTCCTCATTTGCCCCAGCCTCCAGTATTTCCGGCCTATCGTGGCGTTCCCGCCAAGAGCCAGTCCTTACAGGTACATCAGATCTGACGACCGGATTGCGCCCTCCCCGTCCCCCCCGCAGTCCTCCGCGCAGGCCTCCGCGCGCTCCCCTTCCCGCGCCGCCAGCGATTCCCGCCGCCACGTTGCCTGCCCCTCGGCCCGCCGGCATCCACGGTGTACGCCCGCCACGTGGCGGGCCCCAGGTGATAGGCCCCAGCCTTGTCGAGCGCCTGGTGCCAGTCTGCGGAGGTGCGATCTCCCCTGCTGCGGCCGCCACCACCGTAGCTGCTGGTGCGGCGCGGTCATCCGTGCCAGGCTCTGCAGGTGGCGGCATCGTTGGCGCGCTCACTTCGTCGACGGCGATCTGTTGCGACGGTCCGGCCCGCGATGACGACGGACGCGTTGGCCCTTGTGGCGACTGCCCTTGCAGCAGCCAGCCCAGGAGGGGTCCCGGGGGACCAGGCCCCAGCCCTGCTCCGGGCCGCCTCGCTGCTGGCTGGGCGCGCGGCTTCTTCCCCTTCTTCCCGCGGGCGACGGGAGCAGCGACGCTCTTCCCGCGGTCCTGTCTACCGTCCCCCGCCTGGCCGTACCCCTGCGTGCCTGCGCCCCCGTCCGCAGCAGGCGTTCCGTCGGACGCAGCGGCCGCCGTCACTTCCACTCCGCCCGCCTCCCTATCCCGTCCCCCCGCCGCAGCAGTCACAGCCACAGCGATCTCAGCCGCGGCCACCGATGCCGGGGATTCCGCCAGTCCCACCTCCCCCGACTGTCCCTCCTCCGCGACCGGCCCCCGCCCCTCAGCAAGCCGAGATGCGGTCCGGGGGGTGGCAGAGGGTGAAGATGAGCCGCCGTGAGCGGCGGCGGCAGTCTCGTCAGGCCGGCCCGGGTCCGCCACACGCCCCACCGTCATCTCAAAGGCCGTGGCAACCTCCGGCGCACCCCCCCCAGCCGCCGCCCCAGGCTCTGCGACCGCAGCCGCCGCCTCAGCCCCCGCAGCCGCCGCAGCCTCCGCCCTCTCACCCGCCTCACCGTCGTTGGTTTCAGCCGCCATCGCAGCCCCAGCCACCGTCACCCCCTGTGTCCCCCGCACCTCCGTATGTTCCTCCCCGTACCCCTCCCCTTCCTCAGGCTGGTCCGTCCGCGGGCGCATTCCCTCGCCTCTTCGTCGGTGGGCGCGAGGTGCCGATACCGTGGGGGCAGTGGACTCCTCCAGCGCCGCCACCTGCTCCTGCTGTGGTTCCTGACGCGCCATGGAGTCCGACGGGCGAGGGCTCCCCTGATGGCGTCGCAGAGCGCGCAATGAACGTGGGGACGTGCTTGTCCCTGCTGTCATACCTCCTCGACCAGCTCCACCTGTGCCTGGAGCGGCAAGGGCTTGAGATCCAGGGTCTGCTGCCCACGGAGCTGGCGGCGGCGGAGGCTGCGGCGGCGGAGTTGCAGCAGTTCCTCCCCCTGATTGGGTACTGGCCTGGCTCCCCTGGTGCTGCCCTCGGGCCCGGCCCCCTGGCTTTGCTGGAGCTCGCCGAGACTGCCCGGGTGGCGCCACTCGGCCTCGTGTCAGCAGCAGCATCCGTCCTGCGCTGGATGGACGGGCGACTATGTTGGATCCTTTCCGAGTAGCCACTGTCCTTCCCTTGCCAGCCACCTTGGTGTTGGGCTGGCCCTTGGGCTTCCCCATGGCTTTGTAGTTCGCCCTGGGGGTGTTGTTGCTGTTGCGTGGTGTCACCCTTGCATGTTGTAAGCCTTTCTTTTTTGAATCTTGCTGTACCTTTTTGCTTGTCACACCTCACGCGCGGCCGAAGGCCGCGCTGGCGAGCGACGGCTGCCGAAGGCGGCCGGCGCGAGCCGCCGGATTTGGAGAGTGAACTGAACTCACCACATGAAGAATGGGCTCATAGGGGTTGATCTAGGGACTTTATACTAGGAATACTACTCTTAAAACGGCTAAGGACTGGATCCTAGAGGAGAGAGGCCTAAACACGGCTAAGGACTAAAGCTAGGCCATCTCTCTCTCTCTCTCTCGCTCTCTCTCGAACGAGGCGCCGGATTTGGAGAGTGAACTGAACTCACCACATGAAGAATGGGCTCATAGGGGTTGATCTAGGGACTTTATACTAGGAATACTACTCTAAAAACGGCTAAGGACTGGATCCTAGAGGAGAGAGGCCTAAAAACGGCTAAGGACTAAAGCTAGGCCATCTCTCTCTCTCTCTCTCTCTCTCTCTCTCTCTCTCTCTCTCTCTCTCTCTAATGGTCCGTATATTAATATAGCAGCAAGTTACAAGTATGTAGGTTATGGAGGTAACAAACAAAGCACGAATAATACTCACTACTGAACCTAGATCTCTAGGAAGGGTTCTACCACTGCAAAGCAGTCCCCTAGGTGTAGCTCGTGACCAATTCCCCCCATAGGCGGGTTCTCTGCTGCTGCTGCCTCGCCCAACTTAAGTAGGAGGCCCACTGATTGGGCCCTATGAAGGGCCACCGACCATCGCTGCCGAAACTGGTGCAGAAACTTTGCGGCGTAGAAGGATTTAGAGTCGGCGTTGAAGTGGCGCCGAGCCGCTGTGTCCGCTAGTAGCTTGAGGAAGACCGGAACTTCCGCGCATGGGCAGCCGTAGGTGTCTACTGCCAGTGGGAAAAATCCAACCGACTCCGGCCGGTTGGCGTAGTGTTTGATCTTCTTATCCGCTTGTTCCCGGGCCGCCCATCCCCTCCCCTTTTGTGCCTCTGGATCCCTGGTGCTGATGGGGTCCGTGATGGTGACATCACAGACATAGACCGCCCCACTGCTCCTATCCGTCATGGTGAAGTCGGCGATTTGTTCCTCAATGGGGCTGTGAGCGGCGGACTCACTGTGAACTATGAAGCCCGCGTGTTGCGCCATGCTAATGCATGCATCCCGCAGCTCATTATGAGTGTTAATGCGGTGCTTGCCTGTGCCGCAGCGGAGGAGGTGGTTCGGGAGGCGAGGATCAGTGATAGCTGTCTGGTCCGCGCAGTCGCAGTTCTTAGGAGTTGAGAAGGGGAGTCCTAGCCGGAAGCGCACGGTGTTGGCGAAGTGTACAGGGCCTATCCGTCGCGTGGCTTCGATAGGGATCGCAGTCAGTGTCAGACTTATATGCTATAGTCTGTGTAGGCTGTAGTGGGGTAGACAATATGGGGTACAACACTTTTAGGTCATCCTACTTGTACCCACCTGTTTCCTAGTGCATTCATTCCTTGTTCTTTCACATGGTATAGAGCAGGTTCCCTAGTGGGAACGTTTCCTAGGGCCCACCGAAAATTCGAAAGTTTTTTTTTTTTTCCTGCCCGGAGCGCACTTCACCCCTGCCCGAGTCGCGCCCCGCGTCCCCCGCCCTTAGTGGCCCCTTAGCTGCTCCCTCGCGGCCCCTCTCACGGCCCCTCGCGGCCCCTTAGCCGCTCCCTCGCGGCCCCACTCACTGCCCCTCGCGGCCCCTCTATCACGGCCCCTCGCGGCCCCTTAGCCGCTCCCTCGCGGCCCCTCTCACGGCCCCTCGCGGCCCCTTAGCCGCCCCCTCCGCGGCCGTTCGCGGCCCCTCGCGGCCCCTCTCACGGCCCCTCGCGGCCCCTTAGCCGCTCCCTCGCGGCCCCCCCCCTCTCACGGCCCCTCGCGGCCCCTCTCACGGCCCCTCGCGGCCCCTTAGCCGCCCCCTCCGCGGCCGTTCGCGGCCCCTCCGCGGCCGTTCGCGGCCCCTCGCGGCCCCCCCCCTCGCGGCCCCTCGTGGCTCGTCGCGCGGCCCCTCCGCGGCCGTTCGCGGCCACTCTCCCGGCCCCTCGCGGCCCTGTCGCGGCCCCTCGCGGCCCCTCGTGGCTAGCCGCGGCCCCTCCGCGGCCCCTCTCCAGGCCCCTCGTGGCCCCGTCGCGGCTCCCTCGCGGCCCCGTTGCGGCTCCCGCGTCGCCCCTGCCCGCCGCGGCGCCCTGCCCTAACCCGCGCCCTGGAGCAGCCGCCACTTCAGCCCTGCAGCAGCCGCCCCCTGCAGCAGCCGCGCCGCCCCCTGACCGCCGCGGCGCCCTGCCCTAACCCGCGCCCTGCAGCAGCCGCCCCCTGGAGCAGCTGCCACTGCAGCAGCCGCCCCTGGAGCAGCCGCCACTGCAGCAGCCGCCCCTGGAGCAGCCGCCACTGCAGCAGCCGCCCCTGGAGCAGCCGCCACTGCAGCAGCCGCCCCTGGAGCAGCCGCCACTGCAGCAGCCGCCCCTGGAGCAGCCGCCCCTGCAGCAGCCGCCCCTGGAGCAGCCGCCACTGCAGCAGCCGCCCCTGGAGCAGCCGCCACTGCAGCAGCCGCCCCTGGAGCAGCCGCCACTGCAGCAGCCGCCCCTGGAGCAGCCGCCCCTGCAGCAGCCGCCCCTGGAGCAGCCGCCACTGCAGCAGCCGCCCCTGGAGCAGCCGCCACTGCAGCAGCCGCCCCTGGAGCAGCCGCCCCTGCAGGAGCCGCCCCTGGAGCAGCCGCCCCTGCAGCAGCCGCGGAGCCCTCGCCCTGCAGTGGTAGCGGCCTCGCCGTTGCCGCCGTCGTACGCCTGCCCTTCTCGCCACTGGTGAGCACTGCCCTGCCCGTACTGATGTGACTGCTGCTCTTGCTGCTACTGCTCTTTCTACTGCTACTGCTGCTTCTGGCGTGGCCAGATGCAGCTCCAGCGCCGTCCGCGTGAGTCCCTCACCCCCCAACAGCTTCGTGAGTGGTACACTAGTTGGGGTTGTAGGGGTGGCCGCGCTACGACTACTGCTACTGCTTCTACTGCTGCTACTGTGGCTACCACTGCTCCTCCTGCTCCTGGCGGTGGCCAGATGCAGCTCCAGCGACGTCCGCGTGAGTCCCTCACGCCCCAGCAGCTTCGTGAGTGGTACGCTACTTGGGGTTGTCGGGTTGTCGTTCTGGCGTGAGGAGTTCGGGAGCTACTTGTAGTGGCCAGGTGCAGCTGCAGCGTAGTCCGCCCGCGGTCCTTTCGCCCCAGCAGCTTCGTGAGTGGTACGCTCAGCGTGGAGGGTCACGGAGTTCTGCCCGCTGTCCGTACGTCATTCGCACTGGTGCTCGGACTGGTCAGCCCTGCGGGACGCTTGGTCACGCCGAGTCCCGCTGCTTCGCCCGTCTGAGCGACGTCTGGCGTACGGAGTTTGGCGACGCCGCTGAGCTCCCCGACTGGGTGGAGCTGCTTAGGCAGCGGGTAGATATCTATGCTCTTGACTATGATGCTATCCTCACTGCCATGTATGCATTGCCTAATATTGATGTGGGTGACTGCTACCTGTATGTTCCGCCTGACCCGGGCATTAAGGCTGCTGCTCTAGGTGCTGGTGAGGCTGCTGCTCTAGGTGCTAGTGCGTATCCTCCTCCAGGTGCTGGTGAGTCTGCTGCCCCAGGTGCTGGTGAGTCTGCTTCCCCAGGTGCTGGTGAGTCTGCTGCCCCAGGTGCTGGTGAGTCTGCTCTCTCAGGTACCACGTCGTCTCAGGTGTTACGCACCTTCACCCTTGACTCGGGTGCTTCCCGCTCCTTCTTTCGAGACCGCACCACACTCACGCCGCTTAGTCGGCCGGTTGCAGTCTCCCTGGCAGACCCCTCTGGGGGTCCCGTCCTTGCCCACTTCCCCACTGTCTTACCGTGTCCGGCGGCCCCTTCTGGCTCTCTGTCGGGTCTTTACCTCCCCTCGTTCTCTACGAACTTGGTGAGTGGTGCTGACCTACAGGACGCAGGGGTTGACCAGTTCACCCCTGCACGTTAGCGAGTGACCCACTGTACGTGTGCTAGGACGGGCCGACACTTGGCCACGTTTACCCGTCAGCCGGGGTCGAGCCTGTACACGCTGACTGCTGAGTCTCCTCAGGTAGCTGCGTCGAGTCAGGTCTTTGCTGCAGCGTCCAGGTCTGGCCCTGAGTCTGCCCCCTGCTCGTGTCGTCTCCTGTCTCACCAGACTCTCCTCTGGCACCACCGCCTTGGTCACCCCTCCCTGCCTCGTCTCCGAGGCATGGCCTCTCGTTTCCTTGTCTCGGGTCTCCCCCGGTCCCTCCCTTCTCTTCCTCCGGGGCCTGGCCCCACCTGCGTTCCCTGCGTCGAGGGGCGGCAGCGTGCCGCTCCTCACTCCTCCGAGTTTCCTCCGACAGAGGCTCCGCTGCAGACGCTTCACATGGACGTGTGGGGCCCAGCCCGCGTCCGTGGACAGGGTCACGAGCGTTACTTCCTGCTGGTGGTTGACGACTACTCGCGTTTCACCGCAGTCTTCCCCTTGCGCACCAAG